AGTAGAAAGTAAATGTTTTGAGAATGATGATGGCAACAAGTGTATAAATGTGCTTGACCCAGTGGATGTTTGTATGGATTGTTATAAGAGTTGTACAAGCCTCAGATAAAATGATTTAAAAATAAAACAAAAACAAAGGCAAATAAAACAAACTGGCAAAGTAAATAAAAACCGAAAAGTAGGGCATAAAAGCACCATCAAATGTAATGAAAAACACATACACAACAAAAGATAAAATGATGGGAACTTCTAAAAATAAGACAATTATGTAGAATATTTTACCTAAAGAATAAAAAAAGAACCCCCAGACTAGGAAATAATTATGGTTATGACATATCAGACAAGGGACTAAATCTCTGAAATCTAAAGAAAATTTTGACCAAACACATGAAACTTAAACACTTCAACAAGAAAAGGACAACCTAATTAAATATCTCAGAGGACATGACTGTCACCAAAGAAGACATTCGGGCAGCTAACAAATATTAAGAGAAATGCTCTTGATCACTCGCCACCTGAGATAGAAGCTTACTCCATAATTGATAATACAGTTCAGAAAACTAACAAACACTGGAGAAAAACTTGGAAAAATTGGAACCCACATCCATTGCTGGTGGAAAAGTAAAACAGTACAACATATGGTGGAACAGTAAAACAATAAAGTGGGATGACACTTCCTCAAACCATTGGTAATAGAAATGTCATATGACCCAGTTATCCCTTTATTGGTTTATACCCTGAAGAAGTAAGGAACACGGCACAAACATGTATGCACACATATTCATTGAAGCGCTTTTCAGGATAGTAAGAAGAAAGCGATTACCCAGGTGCCCATCAGTGGAAGAATAGATAAACTTTGGGAGATATACACAGTGGAATACTATGCAATGGTAAAGAATAGTGATGTATATGTGAAACACCCATGACATGGATAGAATTGGACACACTGAGTGCAGTTAGTCACCAAGTGACAAATATATGAAGTGATTGGGTTTTTTTTTAAAAAAAAACACGAAAATATTTCCATAAAAAAAAAACAAAAACATATTGATGATTACCAGAAGGAGAGGACGGAAGGAAGGGAAGTAATAAATAGGCTCTTACTAGGTACACAGGTGCTAACTTGTCTGAAAGGGAAGATAGTATCCAGGAAGATGGAGAATGGAGTTGGAAAAGTGAAACAGGTCAAGCCATTGGGAGATTAGATGAATTCTTAAATGCAAAAATGATAAACTGATCTGTAAGCTCCCTCATTCATAATTGTTTTTTTTTTTAATAAAGAAGAACTATATTGTAAACATTCGGATCCATAATGATGGTTATGCATTGAGCTGCTACCCACAAGTTCAATAGTTCAAATCCTCCAGGAGAAATACGAGGCTTTCCACTCCAATAAAGCGTTACAGCCGTAGGACTCACAGGGGTACTTTTACCCTGTTCTGTAGGGTCTCCATGAGTCTGAGTCAACTCAATGGTAGTGAGTTTGTTTTTTTTGTTTTTTATATACTAGGGATTAGGGAGCAAAATATATTAGTATTGGCTATTTTGAGTATGATAATCATGGTGTAGTCTGCTGCAGTGCCTAGAGGAATGTCATGGCAAGCATTGTCAGAAAGAACATTTTAAGATCTGCCCTCAAGATCCTTAACCCTGCAAGGAAGACTCATTAATACAAGTGTGTTAGGTTGGGTTCTCCAGAGATGCAAAACTATGATGCGTGCGTGCGTGTTTGTGTGTATAGATGCTTATATCAAGGAATGACTTACACAGTTGTAGAAGCAGGTCAGTCCAGTCCAGTTCAAGTCCATAGATCAAATGTAGTCTGGAAGACCTCTCTGACTCGTGTAGCTGAATGACGAAGCATGATGCAGAAATTACCAAAGCCACTCAAACAAATCCAGAATCATCAGTCCACAGATGGCTCCTTGGATTGGCAGGTGACACTAGAGATCAATAAACCAGACCCAAGACCAGATCCAACAGAAGATGAAGAAGCAAAGTGTCTCCTCTGCTCTGGGTCTTTCTCTTATCCCAAAGGCCATACTCACAAGGAAATGTCATCAGGCTGTGACCTAATTGATAAGACTCTACCCTACCTTCACGCAAGTATGTTTATATAAACTAACCGTCACAACTATTATTCAGTTTACACACCACATGCACTAAGGATAATAATGGTAAAATTGAATCTACCTACTCGTTCTGTCTGGAATTGACTCAATATACAATGAAGATGCATTGATGATTACTAATGATTAGAATGCAAAAGTTGGAAACAAGAAGAAGGATCAATAATATTAAAAAATAGGACCTTGGAAATAGAAATGACCCTGGTGATCATCATGTGGTAGAGTTTTGTAAGACCAACAACTAACGCACTGCAGATTACTTTTTTTTAGCAATATAAAAGATGGCTTCTCCAGATAGAATCAGATCAATACTTTCTGTAAAAAGAGAGCTTAGAAGAAAGCAAGATCAACTTAAAAAAAAAAAAAAAGCCAGGGGCTGACTGGATTAAACTTGTCAATGGCTCATACGGAAATTTAGGTTGAAGGTGAAGAAAAGTAAACCAACTTCACGAGAGCCAAAATACAAGCTGGAG